GGACCCCACTTTGGGTCCCGACCCCAACTTTGGGAAACATTGGTCTAGGATAACACCAAGACTCCTTACCTGGAGGACAGGAGAAACTTAGGTGTTATCGATGAGAATAGAAAAGTTGTTGGATTTTGCAAGGGTGGATTTAGTTCCAATGAGAACAAATTAATTTTTGTCGCTAATTTTTTTTTTTTTTTTGAGGAAGTTGCTTGTGAACCAGGACCTGATGTCATAGAGGCAGTCAGACAGTGAGGTGGGTGGGACGTTGGTATTTGGTGTGGTGGATGGGGAGCTGGGTGTCACCCACGTAACAATGGAATTGGATATAATGTTAACAAAATATATTTCCAAGTGGAAGGAGGTAAATGATAAAAAGGAGAGGGCCGAGAACAGAACCTTGTGAGACACAATGGAAAGGGGTTGAACAGGAGGAAAATGATTTTAATTGAACAAATATGTAGGGATGTTGACATTTCGTCAGCAGCTGCTGCCATTTTCTTCCCAAACTGCTCTGACCAGACTGTGCAAGGCTGCTCGGTGCGTTTGCTTGTAATTTCCTCCTGCTTCGTTATTTCTACGAATTTCAACAAACCGCGCTGATGTCAGCTTCGTCTTCGAGTTTTTAATTTTTGTTGATGCATTTTGAAGAGATAATTTTTTTGAAAAGAGGATCAAAGTAAAACACCCGAGTTTTTCTAGTGACCCCTTAAATAGCTGCCAGGAAGAACATTATTTTATCTGCCCTTGTTCCAAATTTGATAATGGTTTAAAACGTCGAAGTATGTTTTTTTAAAATCCAGAATAGCGCTTGTTGCAAAGTGTTTTGACGCTCGTCTTCGTCACGTGACCCATTTCACACGCTGTCATTGGTTGAGGAGCTTTATTTACAAAACAGATGTCCACATGGTTTTTAAATTGTTTTAATTTCCTTACTTTCTAAGACACATTAAGTTGATTTGATGCTGCAGTTAGCCTTGTAATCAGTGGTGGGATGTAACTAAGTACAAGTACTTTGTTGCTGTACTTAAGTACATTTTTCATGTATCTGTACTTTACTTAAGTAGATTTCATMATGGGTACTTTTTACTTTTACTCCACTACATTTTACATTAAGTATCTGTACTCTCTACTCCACTACATTTCTGTAATACGTTGAATTACAAATTACATTCATGTCGCAATGCCTTTTTTTTTGTTCGTTTGTTTGTTTAGTTTGAAAGTAATAAGTGGCCAGAGGGGATTGCTGTAATTGGTCCATTGAAGCAGTGCAAAGCAGGAAAGTACCATTAGACCCTCCTTCAAAAAGAAAAAAAAAAGCAGAGCGATTCTGCATCACCTGGAGCAGCAGCATGCCCACAATGGATTCCACAACGGAGGAAATGTGCTACTCATGGCCTTATTTATTCAAGTTAACTGGTTCAAAAAATGACTTGTTGAGATTTGATAAAGGACGATGGTGGCAAATTTAGTTTCTGTAGCTGTTGTCACAATCTGTGATGATGCACAGAATCACACCCAGTGTGAACAGTGTCACAGAGGGTCAAAACAAACTGCAGCATTGTTCACTAAAATTGCACATCATTGATGTATTTAAAATATACACAGACACACTTCATAATATTGTAGACCATTAGGGAATACATTAAGCAAGTACTTCTACTTTTAATACTTAAGTATTTTTAAAAGCAAGTACTTACTTACTTTTACTCAAGTAAAAATATTGATGTGGTACTTTTACTTTTACTAGAGTACATTTTTGTCTGTTTATTTGTACTTTTACTTAAGTGCAGTGTTTGAGTACTTTCTCCACCACTGCTTTTGTAATAATATTTTATACCTTTTCTGCTACTTTTGAATAGGGCTGCCACAAACGATTATTTTTATAATCGATTAATCACTGATTATTTTTTCGATTAGTCGACTAATCGGATCATTCGTTAACTGAATATAAAACATAGAGCTTATCACGTCAGAATGCAGCTGCTATTATATAACCATTGTTAGATTTTAGCTATATGCTAACTAAAAATAATTGCTGTGGAAGGTAAGTTCCACTCTGCAGATATTACACAGGTTTCTCTTTCATTTTCTTAAAATGATCCCACACTTTGAGCTCTGTTGTCAGGTAGCCATGATACCAGAGCCTGTCTGTATAATGTCTTGTGACGTCCACGGCCTACCCCAGTTACCACTACTGTGCATGTGTGTCAAGGACAGAAAGGCAGATGTGGCAGTGGAAGGTGTCAAAGCAGTTTGGAGAGAAAAACAAAGTAAAGAACAAAAAAAGAAAAGAAAACGATTAATCGATTATTAAATTAGTCATTGATTATTTTAATAATCGATTAATCGTGGCAGTCCTACTTTTGAATTGGCTACTACTAAGTTTTATTAGTTTTTTTAGGATACAAAACACTTTCCTACAAAAACCAGAATGTGAATCTTTTCCTAAAATTTCATGGCGATATCTTGAACACTGAGGAAGTTATGAGCAAAAATAGAAAACAAGAAGGTGAAATGGTCACATTGGTTCTGCTGTGAACTGCAGCAAGGAAACATGAGATGATTTCACCTAAACAAACACCAATAACCTCCCTCATACTTGAGATAATCATGATTGTGGTGTTATTTTGTATGGTTTGAAATGTTCTTTTGGAATCTGCTATCAGATTTAACATTGGTGTAGGATTAAAATTTTATCCACATCCCTAAAATATGCCTTTCTAGAACCAGTTCTGGTTTGACCTGACCGGTTAGTCCTCTACAGGCCTACAATAATGACCAAAGGAGACCAGAAGAAAGTAATGTATTTTTGTTTTCGTACTTTTATATCAGCAAAGCACTTTAATGGTTGACACGAGTTGCTGATAAATGAACAGTTTGAACATTTAGTTTACGGAAGCTAATTACGTATGGTTGATTTAATAAAAATAACATATGAAAGCAACCAAATAGGGGCATTTCAACAAGCCACAGATACATGACAAACTTGTCAATATCTGCTTGGACAAAATCAAGTTTACGAAACACGCTAGACAACACAATTTCTAATTGTATCTAGCTTAAACGAGTATCTTAATCATTGGCATGCTAACGTTTACAAATTTCAGTGTGGAACTACTTAACATCTAACAACATCTGAGTGATTTGTAGATATATTAATGTTGAGCCCTTGCCACTGAGTACAATTAAAACAGCTGGTCAGACAGTTTGCTTTAAGCTAAGCGCTAACGTTAGCTTAGCATGGGCCTTGTGTTTTCTGGTTGCGAGTTTTAAATTCAACACAAAATGAGATGTTACATTATTATTATTTTTGGTCGCCTGGTCTGGAAATCCCAAAACGTCTCACCTCTACATCAATATCCAGGAAGCCTCCCTCGGCCACTTCAAACATGAGGCCCATCTTGGTGCCGGAATTGACCCGCTCGTAGAAGCACTCCTCGGCATGGGCGTCTATGCTAACGAAGTAGCCAGACGCGGTAGCAGACAGAACGGCCAGCAAGACAACAAGCTCTGACGCAGTAAACATGTTTCTAATGGTGGATAACAAAGACTGGCTTATAACCGGTGTCTTTTCTTCAGAATATACTGCAGGAAGTCGTTTCAGCACGAATGAACTGTTGCAAAAAGCGAGCTGCACCAGCTTCTGTAGCTGTGTACTGCTCTGATTGCCACGTACGGGTTTATTCGACGGGAACCAGAGAGGGACAAATTTAGTAGTGCACCTAGCGGAAAAGCAAAACTGCAAAACTGAAAACCTCTGTTGATGGGTTCAAGTAGGGTTTTTATATCGTTCCCACTTAATTAATTTATTTTCTTTGATATTTTTATTGAACAAAAACAAAGCAATTAACATAAACAATGATATTCTCTTATCAGTAGCATATTCAGAAATTGCTTTTCAGCCAGGCAGGCCTACGACAAAAATGTGTGTGCCAATGAAAGTTACTGAAAGTTCCACTATAGATTTGTGTCTATATATCAGACACAAACAGAAACAACTTAAAACACAAACAGCCTAAGAACAAAGCTTCAGGGTTTAATACAACACAGGTATAAGCTCACTGACAGAACAAAAACAAACAAACAAACAAACAAACAAAAACAGACACTACTGTGTCTATCTCTTTTATGTAGTATTTGTGATGCCACCATCCACCAGAGGCTATCTAACTATTTAGGAATAACAGAACGT